GAATTTGTTTTATATTGCGTAAAAAAAATTATTTTATAACTATATATTAGAAACATTTTGATTTCTTGTTGATAATAACTCATGGTTTGACGAGCTTTTCAACTGACTGCAAAATTCATGATGATTCCTTTTCAAGAACTGTGAACATTCTCAAATGGTTCATACTCCAAATTCTGGAAAGTTTGGAGGAAGTGTTTCAACAGTATTTCAAGAAATTCACAAACTTATCACTTAGAGACTCAAATTCAAATTTAAGTCTTATTTCTGAGTTCCATTTTCAAATTATTATGATATTTTGTTAATTTATTTCTAAATTAAATTTGTTGTGTATTTAAATATGAAAAAGTTTGTGGAACAAATGACATGACATCACTATGCCCCTGAAGCACTTTATTTGCTTTCTCATAGCAATTGTAAATATTTCCCAAAATTTCTCTTTCTTTGCTAACACACTAATGCTTTCTTCTCTAAAGGTTTTCCTCTCACCAAGCCTTTTTTTTTACTTGAAGGGGGATTATGTAAGATAAAAAAATGTGTAACTCTTAATTATGCTTTAAATTAGCAATAGCTCCTTAATTTCCCTTTTTGGTTTGGGCACTTTCCCCTCTTTATTCTAAAAATAGTAATAACTTCTTTGTAACTGTATCATATCTGAAAATTAATTCCACATTATGTTATCTTAGCCTTCTGCACTGCATATAGCATTTAGCCAATCAGATTAATAAAAAAAAAAAATTAGTATAAATACTGGTTCAAACCAAATATGTGTATGCTTGCTAGTTAAAGGATGTTATTTCCTTCGCTTCATCTAAAAATGTAATGCGTCATCATCAAAATTGTGGGGTGCAGATTTTCTCATTATGATGTGCTATGTGATAGAATAATTAAGAAGTAATAACGAAATGTTTGGATTATAAAGTGATTTTGTAATTGGTCAAAGGTTCCCAGCATCATCTACTATGTAATCAAAATTTCAGTGATCTCACTTTAATCCACTTGCGGCTGTAGAGCAAATGGTGTCTTCCCTAGTCAAATACTCATCTAATATCAAATTATTTGCTAAATTATCATCACCCACACATTTATGTATATTGTCTATATGTATGTATACATAACAAAATTTGCTGCATGCCGTGTTGACTTTTCGTTTTGTTTATTTAAATCCAAATCATGCACATATTGTTGTCATTCTATTATATATGTTACCGTGAAAAAACGAAATTGGAGAATATTAAAACTTACCAAATGCGTCTGAAAGACCAAATATGTGGTTATATTCTTATGCATTCGGACCATCGCCTCTCCATGTTGACAAGCACAGATATGCTGTGGTAGAGGTCAAAACAAGAAGGCAGAAAGGAAGTATTCCACAACTAAATGCAGAGAATTGTTTTCGTTTTGTGATTTTGCATCGAATTGCTATACACGTTGTACCACTTTTCAAATTGTTACCACTAAATGTCAGAGTCCTGCATTATATTTGAAGAAATTAATGAGTCTGCATAAATGTATGTATGTTTCTTGCATTGTGATAAAACAACGGTACTTAAGAGCCATCCAATTTTAAATGAAGTAATCCTACTGCGCATTTTTGGCATCTGAAAGCCCAAATTTGGAATTTGTTTTATTATCAATTTCATATTTTGTAAAAACTTTAATGTTTTTTTTTTGATTAGCAAACTCAATGATTTAAAAGCGAGCAATGGCAACACTCTACATGGGGAGAAAACCTTTTTATCTCCTTCGCACAGAACTGTGTATCAGAAATTCTAAAGATATGCTTATTTTAAAATTATTTTGCAACATTGCTGTTGAACTGAATTTTATGGTTTAAGTGCAAAGAACCATGATATTTAATAAATAAAGGTAAAATACGGGACGTTAAAAAAACGCCCCTTTGAACGTAATTTAAAATCTGAAAACCGTTTTTTTTTCCCCTCTTTTCTTTTTTTATTTAGAAGAAGTACTGTTCGTTTTAAGTTCAGCAGTTTATTTACATGTGCTGTTACTTAAACTTTCTTCTATTTTAATATGCATTATAATACATTTTAATATCTGTATTCACCATCAATGCATGGTGAATATTGACCTTTGCCAGCATTAGTGTGAAATAAGGATATTTAACAAATATTTGGATGTACACCATGTAAATGTTGACATTCACTAGAGAATATCGATATTCTCCAGATTTTTGTCTTTCAGGGTATGTATATATGTATTAAGAATGATCCAACAGGCTCAAATGTCAGATTTTCAGAAATTGTGGGGGTTTTGTATTACTGGCAAATTATTTCAATGAATGATACCCTTACACTGTTACAAGTAATGTATCATTTGGGATTGATAAGTATTTGGTGCATTATGGAGATGGTTTTTTTTTCCAATCAGAATGAATGTTTGTGATTGAACATTACTTTACAGTGCATAAATTTCATTGCAATACTATCTTTTTCATGCATTTTTTTGGTGTTTGCAACATTTTATTCTTGACTTTTTCCATTTTCCCTGAACTTCAGAAATTTGGATAGGTACTTCATATCTTAGGGTGGATGCTTGCATTTTTTCAAAATCAGGTTATCGAGCAGAAAAAAACATTGTTTTATTAGGTTCATGAATATTTGGAAAGGTCTGTTGAGCGCTTCAAAATCTTGAATGCATTGTGAAGTAACGATCGATAGCAATAGCTCCTTAATTTCTATTTTTGGTTTAAGTACTTTCCCCTCCTTATTCTAAAAATAGTAAAAACTTCTTCGTAACTGCATCATATCTGGAAATTAATTCCTTCTGCACTGCATATAACTTTTAGCCAATCAGATTAATAAAAAAGATTAGTATAAATACTGGTTCAAACCAACTATGCTGTGTCTTTCTCTGCCTATGCTTGCTAGCTAAAGGATGTCATTTCTTTCGCTGCATCTAAAAATTGAATGCGTCATCATCAAAATTGTGGGGTGCAGATTTTGAATGTTTGGAAAGGTCTGTTTAAGAACTTCAAAAACTTTTCCTTAATGCATTGTGAAGTAATGATCATCAATTGTAAAAATTTGTACTACTGTAGGAAAACATATCTCCTTGCACCAAATGATTTTTAAAGCTAAAAGTTTAAACTGAAACAGAAATATCAAGTGATATGTTACTTGTAAAAGTTAGCGATATAATCTGTAGAAATAGAATCCACATTTTTTTTAAAGTTTGTGTGCGACTTTTGGATCACCTTGTATATGTTATCATAAAAAGATTATTGAAAACATAAAAATGGTGTTAATGAAATTATTTAGAAAATTAAAATATTTAACTTTACAATGCAGCAGTGCTACATGTGAACAAACTGTATATGTAATAATATAGAATAAATTCAAAAATTGAATTTTGGGCTAAGAAATCTATTTCTTCTAGCTGGTTTCTTCTGCTGTAGAATTTGCGAAGCCTAGCTTGGGCTCTGACTTATGAGTTGTATATTATTTTTTTTAATAACCAAGACTTTTTTTTTTAATTTGTAGTATCTTTTAAATTTTTATTCTTTTCTGAATAGTGTATCATGTTTTGGTTGGTTGAGGATATAGAGATGGGAATGTTATGCTGTGTAATGATGACATGCATTAAAAACCTAACTCTAGCATGAAAGTAGTACAGGGGTTCTCAATCAAGGGGAATTCTGCCTAGGATGAATTTTGTAGTGGGGATGTTGTCAGCCTTTTATTTAGCTGTTAAATATTTAATTTTAGTTTATGAGCATAAAAAACTACTCTTATTCAAGTTTTGGTATTAACCATCATTTACGTCGAGTTCTGTTGCAAAAAGTCAGCTACGGAATGTCACCAAATAATATGTATAGCTTTAGGTACTAATCTTGTATCGTGATACTGGGAATATTTGGTAATAAAAATTCAAAAATAAGAACTATGATATTCAAGAAGCAGAGTGCTTTGGCCGGCCAGCTGACGATGAGGCCCACCTGTGAGAACTTGTGAAAGAAGATCAGTATGCAAACAGTCAAGAGCTTGCTAAGGAGTTATATGTTAGTGCAATGTCCATTAGTCACGCTATGCATCACGTAAACTTAACATACAAGTTCAATCGCTGTGTGCTGCATGAGCCGACTCAAGCAGATAAGGACATACTTGTTCGAGCTTGCAGCAGTCTGCTCAAATATCAGTGCAAGGACAAAATTCTGCACTAGATTTTCACTTATAATGAAAAATGGATTTACTTCAACAACACAGACTGAAAAGGGAGTTGGTCTGCGTCCGGTGGGCCCGTCGGCAGCAGCGCAAATTGCAGTTTGACTAACAAAAAGATCATGCTTTGTAGCTAGTGGGATTGCTGTGGTATTATCCACAAAGAGTTGCCTAGAAAAAGGTAAAACCATTGACGGTAATGTGTATTGTGAAATGCTAATCTCGCGTTGATGCTTCTATCAAAGGAATAAGTCTTAACTTAGTTCTGGTGCAAAAAGGTCATGTTCCATCAAGATAATGCAAGACCCACATGTGTTTGCATTCATCGGCTGGATTTTGTATGGCCTCAAAAGGGATCTTTTGCCATACCCATCATGTAGTGCCGATATAGCTTCTTCAGACTTGTAATTTTTTTCACATTTACAGCTACATCTTGCTGGTGCTATTTTTCCATTCTGCAGAGGATGTCGAAAATGAGGTTGAGCTGTTTTTGGACTCGTAGCCACCAAATTTCTGGGCTGAAGGCTTTAAAAAACTTCCGAAACATTAGCAGAAAATCATAGATTTGGATGGTGATTGCTACCTACACTAAAGGGTACTGCTTTCATTTTTTTTTTTTTTTTTTTTTAATAAGATGGTGGAAAACTTTTGTTACAACCATATAGACATTTTTCAAATTTTGAAAAAGAAGGGAGAATGACATTCTAGCAATGGTGAAAAAAAGGGCTGCATGAGGCAAAAATGCTTGAGAACCACTGTATTAGTATTCATTTTAAGAAGAAATCTATAAATGTTTTAATTGTGTTTTTATTGAATTTTCAGGCGAGATGGTCTACTTTTTCTCAGAACATCTCTTGAAAGGCATGAAAAGCTTAATGAAGAAAGCATGGGATTACGAGTGTGTGAGATTTTAAAGGTGGGCATAATATATTAATTTTATATTTTATTGATATATATTTGATAAATAGTTTTGGAATATAATCTAACTAGAATATCTAAAAGTAAAAATTTTGTTGAGGAAAGTAAATTAAAAATTATTTCAGAATTTCACATTTAATTAGGAAGTTGTAATTTATGCTTACTTTCTTATATGCTCATGTTTCATGTTGGAACAGTGGTCTTCAGATTGTGTTCCACAGAACCTTGGGGCACCAAGTAACTCCTTTTACAACAAAACAAAATACAGCATTATCCTCAATGATCTAAATACCGTAGAGAAAAAAAGGATAACAAACCTGGAAGTAATAATAAAGAAAAGGATAATCTTTTGGGGGTATCAGCTGAGGTAATTTATGTTTCTTAGATGGATGTGGAAGAGGGACTGGACATCTAGAGACATCTACAAAAATCCAAAAACTAGCACGGAAGGAGCAAACATCAAGCATAATGGCCACCCTTATTTCGTGACACTGTCACGGCTTCTACCAGTGTTAATGTCAAAGATATAATTGATTTACATAATTCTGTATGCCTGGCTGTTTAAAAAACTATGCTAAACCTAATACAGTCAAAAGTCGTTAATTCGGACATCCATAATTCGGACCTCAAAGCTACAAACTTTCGCGCATGCGCCGCGTTGAAGCATGCTTATAAGATCTTTACGGCTGCGAATATGCGTTTAATGCATAACGGACGGTATAAGCTAAGCTAAAATTATCTAATTCAGTTAATGTTGCAGATTGCATAGTTCCTTTATCTTCGAATTGGATCCGGCTTATTATTTTTTGCAGACTGTTAGAGCAATTTTATAAAAGTAAGCTCTAACTTTCGATTATGTCAAATAGAATTTCCGATATATATTTACTAATATGTAAACGTATATATTTACTAATATGTAAACAAAGTGAAAGTATGTTTCGAAGTCCATTAAACAAAAAGTGGAATTGCTGCAAAAAATGGATAAAGGCATAATCCTTTGTTTATCTAACCATTCCAAAATCTGTTTATCAATTTCATGCTGCTCTGCGGGAGAGGGGGGGGACGCCGCGGCACGCAATGAATTGGAAGTTGATCTGTCAGCACTATCCTTATCTTCAGGGCAGATGTTTTTATTTTATTTGGCTTATAATTCCTTACTAAATGTAGTATTTCATCTAGATGTACTTCGTCTTTGATATGATTTAAATCAAATTCCTCATCATTATAATTCGCTTCCAATAGTGAAGAAAGTGACACAGAGTTTATTGAAAACGAAAAAATTTCAATTGACAAATTAGTCGGTATTCTCGACACAGCAATTATAGGACTTCAACAGCGGAACTTTGAAACTGAAGAAGAAATTATGTCTGTTTATAGAATTAAAGAGAATGTATTATCACATACAAAACGAAGCAACTTAAACAACTTACATTGAAAGAAATGTTTAATAAAGTAAACAAATAAATTAAGACACAATAACACGCCGAATAAATACTAATTCAGAAGTCAAACAACAAAAATCAGCGTTATATTTACCAAATTTTCACAGAACAACTGTGAAAATTTGGTAAATATAACGCTGATTTTTGTTGTTTGACTTCTGAATTAAACAAATAAATATTAAGCTTTTTTTTTTTTTTTTTTCCTTGTAAATTTTGATACTCTTTAGATCATAATTGTTCTGTATTTCATAAATTATGGTTTCATATTTTTAATTTTTTAATTTCTGCATGCCATCTTACCAGATTTAAACTGATGATGTATAATCCGGAAAAATCGATAATCCGGAATCGCCGAAGTCCCGAAGAGTCCGGATTAACGACTTTTGACTGTACAATAAGCTAAACTTTGGCAATACTCTTTCTTCAGGAAAGACAGGTAGGTGAGCGTGACTGTGGAGGTATTCTCATCTCACTTGACTATCCCTTTAGTTTGATTTCTTTAACCCATTCAGAACCAACATCACGTAGGCATGACACAACGATTCCAGTGTTCCTTATCTCCCAAGTTGTACGGCAATGTCTTAATGACATTGCAAAAACATTGCAATATGTCGTCTTTAAGACTCCCAGATGTCCACGAAACTCCACTGTTTTGCAACCGTTGCAAAGACGTCTTTATTACGTCTTTGCAGATGAGGTTTTTGTCGAACAGACGTCATTATTGCATCTTTATTAGATTATATCTGGTTGTGAAAGCATCGTATCACATCTTAACGATGCCTAAATTTTCACAAAATTAGACCTTTTTGCAACAATTGTGAAAATGTCGTTATTATGTCATTGTGTTACATATTGATTTATGCAGAAAACTAAGCTTAATAATTAATGTATTTTTCTTCTTTTTTAAAATTTTGTATTCCTTGCATTTTTCTAAAGTTTATACATTTTATCATTTCCTGAAAACAACTTTTTCTCTTTAGAATAAATATGCATAATTAATAATAGCCTTAATTATTTTCAGTACTTTAAACTATATTTTTTAAATAACTTAAATTCCAAGTCACGGTTATTTAAGATTTCATCATTTTCCCCCCTTAATCATTTAGTATGTAAGTGAAAATAATTATGAAAGTGGTTATTATAAATATATAACATTAATAGTAAGTTTTAAGTAAATAAAACTCAATCAGACATAAATAACTGTAAAGATATATATGTGGGTAAAAAAACAGAGCGTTTCTGATTATAACAGCATTATCACATTTATTTCTGTTAAATCTCAGAGACATTGAAAAATGCCTCCGTCATGATAAGTTAGGAAGCGGTTCTTAAGGTTCAGTATTTTGTCCGAACTCGAGTATAAATTTATTCGTGTTTCATAGTAAAAAATATAACCAATAACTTCTATATCTCCAAAGTATGCAAATGAAACACTGTATAAAGTAGTTAATAAATGTGATCAAATGTATTTCATACAAAAATATATCTAAATCTAATAACCAAAAAAAGAACTTCCCATATTCATATCTAAAATAAAATAATAACCTAACAAGCAACATACATGATAGCAGTACTTAGGAAAAAACATGAATGAGCAGTGTTTGAAAGTATAAATTAGCAGAAGGAATGTAACAGAGCTAAAATTTCTAATTAATAAAAAATTATTTGTGGTTTTTAAATGGTAAGCAATTAAAAGTGCAATAATTGTGGAATGCAGTACAGTCAAAAGTCTGTAATCCGGACTCGTCGGGACTTCGGTGATTCTGGATTATAGATCATCAGTTTAAATCTGGTAAGATGGCATGCATAAATTATAAAATTAAAAATATGAAATCGTAATTTATGAAATAGAGCAATTATGATCTAAAGGGTATCAAAATTTACAAAAAAAAAAGCTTAATATTTATTTGTTTACTTTATTAAACATTTCTTTCAACGCGCGCATACATAAAGCATACATTACGCATAGTCGAAATTAGAAAATTGCAACCAGAAAACTGCTTGATGTGTATTCGTTATATTTATAATGATATGATTATATCATATTTATAATGATTTGATATGATTTAAATCATATCAAAGATGGAGTACATCGAGATAAAATACTACATTTAGTAAGGAATTATAAGCCGAATAAAATAAAATTATCTGTCCTGAAGATAAGGATAGTTGCTGACAGATCAACGTCCAGTTCATTGCGCGCCGCGTCGTCCCCCGCAGAGCAGCGTGAAATTGATAAACATATTTCGGAATGGTTAGAGAATCAAAGGATATGCTTTTTTCCACTTTTTGTTTGATGGACATCGAAACATGCTTTCACTTTGTAGATCCTTTGGTAGCTCAAGAATCGGAAATTCTTTTTGACATAATCGAAAGTTCAAGCTTTACTTTTGTAAAATTTCTCTAACAGTTTGCAAAAAATAATAAGCCGGATTCAATTAAGATTAAGGAACAACGCAATCTGCAAAATTAACTGAAATAGATAATTAGATAATTTTAGCTTGGCTTATATACCGTCCGTTATACGTTAAACGCACATGTGTAGACGCATATGCGCATGCGTAAAGGTGTTATCCGCATGCATTAACGCATTATGCGTTGATGCATGCGCAGAAAATTTGTAGCTTTGAGGTCCGGATTATAGATCATTTAGGATTATGGACATCCAAATTAAAGACTTTTGACTGTATTTACTAATAATGCTGAAGTTTTTAACACAACTTCTTTCGATCATGTGTTAATGTATTTATTTATTTTTAGTTTCTACGTTTTAGAATAGTGGTAGATTACATTGATTATTTCATGCACTTTATATAATCAATAGCTTTCCTTTTGTTACTGTACAGGAATAATTTAAATAATATAGTATACGATAGTAAGCTAAGTACATTAAAATAAGCTCTTTGTTAAATAGCACATGATGAAACTTTTTGTTTCTATTATGAATTTCTGTGTTATCACAAGCACATAAAATGAAAGCAAAGAAAATAGAATATACTTAAATTTAATAAAAAAATAAAACCTAATTTCCAATATTCATTTATTGAGATAATCTAATAAACATACATAATGGCAATATTTTAAAAAACGCAAATTACTCAGTGTTTGAAAGAATAGATACAAAACGAAAAGTAATAAAACTGCAATTTGCAATCAATAAAAAATATTTAGTGTGTTTTAATATTACACAATTAAATATCACATAATTATATATTACAATATTTCATAGTAATGCTAATGTTTCCATAACACTATTTTTTTATCATACATTTCATACACTTTAAAATCGTTAACTTTTTCTGCATACTATACTAAAGACAACATAATATAAAATGTGCATTAATATTAATTTTAATGTATTCCTTGTATTTTTCTAATATGTTATTACATATATCTAATTCATCTTCAGCAGTCATATTAAGTACCAGTCCAATAATTTGTTTCTATTTTGAAACTCATGAACATACCATAACAGCTTGAATTGTTTGTGCTTCTTCATTGATTGCATTTTCAGCAGAACCAAAAAATGCCTTAACATTGTATGTTGTTTTTGGTT